TAAAGATGTTCTTAAAAGTACAAAATCCAAAGTTACGTGCCCTTCTGCCTCCTTCTATGTGTCGGGTTGAAATTTTCAAAAGGAATTTTATTAATTTAGTCATTGAAAGCACAAAAGGAAGAAAGAGAGAAAATATTAAAAAGCCGACAAAACAGCCCACCTATAGGATCCTGACAGTTGTGCTACAATGCTGCTGCCGCCAAGGCTGTATCATGACTTTCATGGATCCTACGCACTTTTGCCATTGTTGGCCCTTCCTCCATAAAAAATATTTAAAAGCCCGTCCAGTTAGCTCAGTTGATTAAAGTGTGGTGCTGATAACACAAGGTCTGGGGTTCAATCCCTGTATTTGCCAGTGGAAAAAAATTAAAGATTATATATTTTATGACTCTGTTGGTATAAAAGTGAATGTAACCCAGGTTGGATTAATTATATTTCTGTTATTATTATTACTATATTCATTTTTCTTCTGATTTTAAAAGAAATTAAAACTACTATGGGTTCTATGTACTGTGTCTCCTGTGCCTAATTGGCCCTATGAGATTGATCAAGCATCGAGGCTCCACTATATTTCACAACTTACTCTCTTACCATAATATTTTCTACTACTCCANCTCCCAGGTTAGGGGAGCACTGAATGATGTAAGGCCTGTGTCAACAGAAGGGCCACATTAGTGAGTCTCTCTGGGGGAGAGGGGCAGGCACTGGAAAGGGAACGGGGAGGACCTTGACCTCAGGAGAGAAGGTAAGGATTCCAGTATTCTCTCTACTCCTGAACTAAGGAGTGCAGGTGGACTGTGTTCTTCCTGAGGGCAGAGACTCTGGCCTCTTCATGTCTGTGTCCTCAGCACCTAGCACCAAGTCTGGCTCATGGCTGGATAAGTGATGGAGAAAATGCATGAACAAGGGTAATGACAAAAATGGTACATGCTATACCTTTTTTTCTCTTTCTCTGCAGACTCAAAAGAACTAGCACCAGTACAAGGAGGCTGAGTGGGATGGACATCAACAGGAGATACAGGAAGACTATGAAGGAATCTGGGTCACTGGGAGCACCTTTAAAGAGAGAATGGGTGGAGGCATGGGGGAGGAAGAAAAGTCAGCTAGGGAAAATGACCCAACTTTTGGAGTACCTGCCACTTTCCTCCTAGCCTGGTGACTTCCCAGTGGCCTCCAGTTTTCACACAGGGCCTGTTCCCATGGGGTTCAGGAGCTAAAGAAGGTATAGGTCCTTGGGACCAGAGGCTCCTGCAGAGAAGGGAGAGATGGTCACCTTTGCAGAGTTCCCTGGCAAGGATGGGGCTTGAGGAGTTGCTGCTGATGGGGTTCCGGGCCACGCAGATGAAGATCATGTCCCTTTCCCCTAGACTCCAGGAGATGGGGAGGATGGAGCCATCATGGGACTCATTGGCTTCTTGCCCCAGGGCTTTCCAGCGGTAAGTCACATCCTCTCCTCCCTGTTCCATGGAGCATGTCAGATTGGTCAGGCAGGTGCCATTCTTATTGTTCTGCACACCCATGGTGACTTTGGGCTTTGACAGGTACTCTGTGAAAAAGACAGGACAACCAGGGATGGAAATTATGCCTATAGCTCTCCTTGCTCTGAATTTTCCTTGGATACCTCACACCTGAATCTCCT